AAAGAATGTACATATTTCATTATATGTACATATACAAACATACACACATATATATATATATATATACATATACATACACATATACACACATATGTGTGTGCTTCCGTGCTGCTTTTCAGAACTTTATTTAGCAGTTCCTTCAGCGTTTGGAATAAGGTCCTTCAGCATTTGGAATAAGGTCCTTCAGCATTTGGAATAGGTGGCTATGAAAATCTCATCCGTCGTAGACTGAGCACCTTCTCAAAAATTTCAAATGTGATCCACAGAAAACTTAAAGACAAGTAGACAGCGATGTGTTCAGTACTTTGTTTCATAGATTTTTTTTACCTTGAGGGCCATCCTCTGCCCTTGTAACTACACGGTTTACCTGAACACAATATACAGATTTCATTCTTGTTCCAAAGGATATTTGGAGCCCATGAAAGATGTAGCCTTTATGAAAGTAGGATTTACTTTCTTTTTTAATTTATTTTATTTTTTTTACTGTTTATTCATTTTTGAGAGAGAGAGAGAGAGAGAGAGAGAGAGAATGAGCAGGGGAGGAGCAGAGAGAGGGAAACAGAGGATCCAAAACAGACTTCTATCTACACTGACCTCAGTGAGCCAGATGTGGGACTTGAACTCATGAACCGCGAGATCATGAACTGAGCTGAAGTCGGACGCTCAGCCGACTGAGCCACCCAGGGGCGCCCACTTTTGCTCATACAATATATGATGAGTATATAATTATATATATATCCCCCTCCCCACACCCAGTCCTCGGGTGTGGTTCTTTAAGGGCTGAAACAATAGCTTTGCTTGCCCCAAGAGGATGATACAAACAGCACACTAGTCAACAATTTAGAAATCTAAACTCCTAGGGCCATGCAGCCAATAAACCCCTTCACCCATGTTTCCTTATCGTATTTGGAAAAGCCAACGCTCACCGCCCTTTCCCTTCAGCAGGCGGTGCTGACACTCTTCCAGCAGAGCGGATAATGTGGCCCAGTTATTCCTTTAGCTGCTTCATGGACCATTAGAATGGACTTTTGGGGACTGGGGACCAGTAGTTTCAGAGGACTTGTACCTTTGGAACCTCCCACATCTTGAATGCTGTTTAGGGCTAGAACACAACACTCTGATAGGCTCAGAGTTTTTGCTGGTTTCAGGTGTCCGTTGTGGCTTAACAAACTACCCCAAAACTTGGTGGCCTAAAAAAGAATGAACACTTATTTGCTCACAGACCCGTAAGCTGGGCAGGAACAGCCAGTCTCCCTCCACGTGCTGCCCACTAGGGTGATCAAGCGAGGTCTGGAGGAGGAGGGCATCATCCCTCACGTGCCAGGAGCCTCATCTGAGGTGTTGGAATGGCAGAAATTGCTGGGTCTCTCTCTCTCTCTCTCCCCCCCCCAACGTGGTCTCGTCCACTTGTAGGCTAGCCCAGGCTCCCCTCGTTGACACCCAGCACCAAGCTGTCAGCCCTCTTACAAAGTGATACATCACATCTCCACTGTGCTCTGTGGGTCAAAGCAAGTCCCCAGGCCCGCTCAATCCAACGGGAGGGGAAATGCACACAGGACAGATAGAACTGTTTAGAACCCTTTAGTAGAAGGCAGGAGAGAGCAAAACAAGAAGGACAAAAATTAATGGTGTCTGCTCCCTATAACGTTCTAGAACATAAGCCATGGGAAGGCCTTGCTCAGACTCGTAAGGCTGGGAAAACCTTGGAAAGGTTATCTAATGCCTGGCGGGGGTCCTTAATCTGGTCAGCCTCAAAGGTTCTGTGAGTCCCTTGAAATCGCATGCAAAATGTTGCCAACACATGCTTTCTTATTCCTGGAGGAAGGTGGGAATCTATAGCATTCCAGACACCCTCCAAGGAGGCTATCTTCCAGAAGAGGTTAAGTGACCATTATCCTATACCTGACAGGCAGCCTTGCATGCCTGTGTAGAGAGCCAGTCTTGAAAATAACCACTAATCCACAATCCTAGTGCTCCAACCACTAGGAAGTGCTGAAGTGTTGTGATCCGACCAGCACACACGTGTCCTCTCATGCTTGGTGTTTCCTGGAAGCCTCTAAGTGTATTTTCTGCAGGAAGACACTTCAGATTTGAAAGTAAAGATCAGATTTCAAGGTGGAAAATGCTCTGAGAAGCCTCCTTCTTGTAGAAGCAGGTCAAGGTCAGGAAAATAGGTGGGAGGGGAGAGGAGGAAGAAAGGCGATACACAGAAGGAAAATCTGCCAGCCCCGGCTAACCAGACCATCGACAGCAAATTGCTTCCAGTTGATAGAATTTAAGGAACCTCCCCCCAGAGTCTTTTGATGCCGTGTCTAACTTCCCTCTATTTTTCTCCACAGCCATGGGACCCGATGCGCAGGGGAGGTTTCTGCCGCGGCCAACAACAATATCTGTGGGGTCGGAGTAGCATACAACTCTAAGGTTGCAGGTAAGCTGTCCCTGCCAAACAGCAGGTGCCTTGAGCCAGAAGGCATCACACTGCAGTCTCCAGCCTGGCTGGGGCCTGGCAAAAATTCCCACTGGAGCAGCAGAGCCGGGTCCAATAGCTTTAGCAAGAGTGAAAAAGACAATCTTTTTAATCGATCTGGCAGTATCAATAAACTCAGATTTTTTTTCGAGTGTAACATAAATACAGAAAAGGGCACGGCTCATGAGCTCAGTGAGTTTTCACAACCCACCACATCCAAGGAAACCATCAAGAAACAAAACATCACAGGCACCCCAAAGGCCTTGTCATGTCCCCTCCCAGTTACTACCCATATACACAAGAATAACCCTGATCGTGGGGCGCCTGGGTGGCTCAGTCAGTTAAGCATCTGACTCTTGGTTTCAGCTCAGGTCATGATCTCACAGTTCGTGGGTTCGAGTCCTGCATCAGGCTCTGTGCTGAAAGTGCGGAACCTGCTTGGGATTCTCTCTCCCTCCCTCTCTCTCTGCTCCTCCCCTACTCACACTCTTTCTCTCTGTCAAAATAAGTAGAAAGAAAGAAAGAAAGAAAGAAAGAAAGAAAGAAAGAAAGAAAATGAGTAACCATGATCCCGATTACTAACAACAAAAACTGGTTATTGCCAGTTTTTAAACTTTAATATAAATGGAATTGCACTGCTGTATTCTTTTGTGTCATTATCAACAAGACTCAAATAAAGACTGTAGAATATAAAGAGATGCATACAAATTATTGTAAACATACTCAAAGCTCTTTAAAAAACGGTTTTTTACACAGTGCATCTCATCTTTAAGGAAATATATTCTACCTAAACCTTTGTATCATGTTCCACAGGAAGGACATTTGACAATTTCATCCTAAAGGCGGCTTTAGAAATGACGTGGCAGATCACTAGAAACTTAGAAACCAACATCTTCCTCTCAAAAAAGAGAGGGAGTGAGAAGGAGGGGTTCATAAGCTGTCAACAAGATGCCGGAGAATGGAGTGACTCCTGGCACATTCCAAGTTTTGCATCAAATGGGTTCTTAATTTGTTCAGGCTGAGTCACTCAACCTTGTTTTTCTTTTTTTTACAACTGTCTTGGTATTTTTTTTCCTAGCAATTTAAGAGAACCATAAACATACTTTGTGCTGACGCTTGCATTTCCAGGGACCTAAATAAAGCAAGAACAACCTATACAAACCCACCACCAACCTCTTTCAACACTGTTTGCTAAGAGGCTTGCTGGGTGCTGAATTTCACAAAAGAATCCATCTGGAGGGTTCTGAAATGCAAAATAGGGGAAGCTTTGCCCCTTGGGTTTCTGCTCTCTTTAGTTTGCATGCATTCAAAATGCTGGCATTAAAATGTCAGGAGCCATTATGAGCTCAGGGGAAAGAATAACACTCAGTTAATATTTTATAAGCCAGGCTCATACCTTGGGTGGTATCTGAGGCGAGGTGGGTTCCCCATCCACAGGACAGAACTGGAGGCAACTGAAAACTTCAAACCTGGATTTCCCATTCACAATTATGGTTTTCAAAATAATTTGGATCCCAAAGTACAGTTTCAAAATACTTTTGGAGCCTGAAGTATTTTTTTGAACAGGGGTTCTTAGAACTACTCCCTGCAAAATTGAGTTAAGGGCAGCTCAAGCGTTAGGAGGGTTCACTGGGGTCCCTTTCTCCGTCTGCCTTCTATCCTTTTCTCTCCTAGTATTTGCACCCTGAAAACATCTGAGCAGCTCACCAAATGTACCTCATTTTCCTGCTCTTTTCATTGGAATTCCCTAAAAGGGAAGCGTGAGACAAAGATTTGAGTGTGTTAACCTAAGAAATATAAGAGCCAGTTATCTTACCAGCAAAACAGGTTTACATTTAGGACAACAGAGAATGGCAATTCAGGACGTGCAAGCTATAGCAAAACCACAGGCAATTCCCACAAAGCGGAAGAATGTCATTTTAGGGAGAAGAAGAAAGTTGGGAGGGGGTGTTTTGAATGGAAGTCCATTGGAGAAAAGCAGGAGTTTGGGGTGAGGGTGGTTTCTCTTTGGCTGAGTTGCGCGGATAGTCAGTTTCTCATAGGAGATGCAATGTACATCTTTTCCAGTTGGGGCTGGAAAGTATTGATTTTTTCCTGCTGACAATTCTGCTGGGATCTGTAATTGACAATTCTTCCTGTAATTGATATTGAGTGATATGGCTCCCCCTTCTGGGCTCCTGATTCCATTTTAGTGAGGGCTCCCTTTATGAATTGCTTACAGGAGCAAGGAGTTTCTTTGGGAGGGTGATCCCAGGAAGCCAGAGTGAGAGAAAGAGGAAGAGAGACGGCTAAGGGAGGGAAGCCAACAAAGGGTGTGTAGATGAGCTGAGGACAAGCAGGGCTCTGAGGGACTATAGAATTTCACCCCCAAGGTGAAGAGGCTGTTTACCAACTCCCACCCCTCACTGGTTGGGGGGAGGGGGGGGCAGTGCCTCCTGGGCCCTCAGCACCCTGTCCAGCCTGCCAGTTCACATGGGTGGAGCATAGTCCTGAGGCAAAGAATGCCTCCCCCCAGGCAAAGACACCTGGACAGGGTAGTGGATTCAGGCAGGTGCAACCCATAAACTCTGCCTCACCTGCTAACTGAGTCCCAATCCCAAAGGTGAGTGAATGCAGCCTGATCCCTCAAAGACACGACCTGACCTGTGCTTTGTGAAACCCCAGACAGCTCAGGTCTCACAGCAATGCTCCAATGTTCCAGAAATAGGCCAGAACTAGTGGGAGGCATGCCTAGCCACACAAAGATTTTAAGCAGAGGAGCCTCCTTTTCCACTCCCTTAATCCCAGTGGTGCTCCTCTGTAACAACTTCTGCTGGTGCTAACTGCTTAAGGGGCTCAGAAGTCTGGTCCCCATCATCCTGTGCCCATTAGGACACCCAGTGTCCTCTGGGCTTTACTGGAGAAGCACGAGGAATCTTCATGAGGAAGCCCTGGACTGTTACTCAAGAATCACAATAAAAGCGGAATTTCATCCTCCTAGACCTTACAAATTTATGGGAAACATTTCTGGATGGCAATTCCAGAAGTTGGCTAGTTTTTATTACTCTAAATGAACCATACCTTTCCAGAGAAGCTTTCTTGCGGGTTTCTGAGCTAGGGATGTCTAGAGCGCCACCTGCTGGTGACCTGGGATCATTGCTAGTCCCTGGCAGTCTGGAGGTGTCCCATCACAGGTTAGAGAGGCGCCCGAGGTCTTGTTCCACGCCCTTCCTGAGTCCTGTGTCTCTCTTCATCCTGTCCTCAAAAAAAAAAAAAAAAAAAAAAAAAAAAAAGGTTTCAGTTAAGGGGATGTAGAATCTTAGTCCAGAAATAGGAAAGTGGAGATAAGATGATAAAATGGGTCCTCTGAAGGGAAAAAAGGAAAAAATCATATAGCATCTCTTTATCTGCCTATTAGCCTGTTGGGTTTCTCTTTTCTTCATAAACTTTGCTCACTTTTCCACTGGGGTTCCTGTCTTTTTCTTGTTGATTTGCATGTGTTTTTGGTATGTCCTAGATCTTAGCTCCTGGCCGGTTACAGTCAGTGCAAATATCTTCTCCCAAACTTTCACGTGAGATCATTAGTCCGTCTGGATTCCACATTTGCATGTCATGCTGGCTTGGGATCCAGTTATATTTTTCTCCCAACATGACGCCAATATCATCCATTCAGGAATCCATCCTGTCCCTTTGATTTGTGGTGCCATCTTCATCATGTTTCAAGTTCCCGTGCATATATGGTTAGTCCCTGGGTAAATATAATTTAGATAAAACCACCTAGCAAGTGTAAATTAGGAAGTGTAGCCACACTCCTTGTACTGCTGGGCCTTTGTATCTGCTCTTCCCTCATTCCAGAATACCTCCCCTATAGGCTTTACCCGGCCACCTCTTTATCCTGCACTTCTCAGGCTCCCCATTGTTACCTTCAGCATCACCTCCAGACCAGCCTTCTCATCTACACTTGATAAAGCATGCAGTTTTTTCTTCCTGGCACTAACCACTGTCCAGTTATTGCCCACATTCTTGTACATGGTTATTTGATCAATATCTTTCTCCCCAGGCAGAAAACAGCCTGCTTGAGGACAGGGGCCTTGTCTGTTTTCTGTCACCTCAGCACCTAGAACAAGGTCTGGCACCCAGCAGATGCTCAGAGCCTATTTGCTGAGTGATGGGAAGCAAAAAAGGAATAAAGAGAAGGAAGGGTCAGTGAATAAACCCATGGTAAGCAGTAGAGATTAATCACTGGACAGAAGAATGGATGGATGAATGGAGTTGTAAGATTAAGGGCATTAGGATCTAAGGACCCAAAGCCGATAGAATTTCTACCAGGAAGCAAAAGTATCTTGTCTTCCACCAGTACCATCTCACCTTTGCTATTTTATCCCAATCAAATTAGTTCCAAGGAGACTTGAGCCTTCTTATATCCTCTCCCCTCTTCCCTCCCTTCCAACGGCACCATGATAATGTTCTAAGTGCTAGCATCACCAGTAGGAGCTGCCCCAGGGCCCACCATTGAAAAAGGGACAGGGGACCCCTTTATACCTATGCCCTAAGCCGCTCCAGGCTGACGAGTATCACGACCGTCCATCGACCATAATATAACACCATTCAGGTGTTACAAATAGAGTGTGTAAATTTCCAGGGGCTCATCATTTCCACCTATTCATTAGAATCTCAAAATCTTGGGCCCCAAAGATCCTTTAGTCCACAAACCCACAGATACTTGCATAAGGGTAGCAACAATATAATAATAATAGCAATAATAATAGCAGCAGTAGTAGTAAATAACACATTATTTACTCTTCCAATGTGTCAGTGCGATGCACAACTCTTTACTCAACTCTTTACACAATCTTATCATGCATCATTATATATGTATATATACTTACATATATACATATATGTACACATATATGTACATATACATACATATGCACATATATGTGCATATACATATGTACATATGTGTATATATACATACA